TCGATAGTACTCACTTGTGCAGGAGGGTCAAAGGACAGGGGTGACATTAATACATTTATGGACATTTATGAACATTATCATCATATATCAACATTTTCATCTGCCCCTTATGGACCAGTGGCTCTATTTTTTTTTTTTTTTTTTGTCATTGGATCTATCTATGTTGGGGAATTCAACAGTTTTTTAAGTTGTCCGAGATAACTACGGCTGTGATTTAAGACTATGCAAGAATAAATTGGATTGAATTATACATACCTGTTTTTGAGTCCACTCTTTCCTGCTCCTCTGTTCTCCAGATCCCGTGGCTCGTCCAGTCCTACGGTTTTTTCTTTCATCCTTACTTGAGTGTTGTTTTTGAGTTTTTGTTATTAAAGTCTTTTAAAATGGCTTTGGGGTTCGAAAAACATATTCTCAACAGTAAAACTTCAATCATAAAGTGTAGTAATCTTATTTCACAGCTACACAAACTATGAAGAGTTTCCTTATTTCACAGCCCAAACATGTTCTAATCTTGAACATTTAATTAAGTTATTTCTTCCTCTGGCCCTCATGGACCCCTGTGGCCTGGTTTACTGCAGCTGGGTTTAAAGCACCATGGACAGCGCCCGTTGCAGAGGGCTGGCAATGGGAATTGATGGCACAGATAACGGGCATACTCAGCACCCAGAATGCATCGCCACAGGTGCACTGTTTCTTATGTCGACCTACTTACACTTCTTTATACACGAGAAGCTTTAGGCGCTGTTACACACACACACATATACTGATGGTACTACCAGCGTTTCAGGAATGACTTGCCAAATACTTGCTGGGCTTCACGTGTGTATATCTAACCCTGAAGAATGTTTGTAATTGTTTTTTGATGGTCAGAGGTAGCAGTAGTGGAAGCATTGTAGTTTCAGTAATGGTAACAATAATAGTAAATGTAGGTGTCACAGTGTCTGCAGGCAGTTAAGTAAAAAAATAACATAATCAAGAACAATAAATACTCACTTCAAGTACATAAAAATCATTGCTTCGTAACAAGCTTATAAAATGCCTTTGTTTTTGGAAAGACTTGAGTCTGGGTGAATTTGTTCCACATCTGCTGCACTGTGTAGGCCTGTGTGCTGGCAGGAACGCAGACTTTGCAATTTACCATGATCTCTTCTAATCCTGACAAAGCTATTATTTTGCGAACTGCTAGCACAGCCTTTATTTTGGCTCTTCAATTTCCAAGAATTATCACAGAATTGGGTCAATATGTGTTTATGTGCTGGATTTTTTTGTCACTTTTGATCAAAGTCTCGTCACACACAAAATTCAGATTAAAAAGCTTTATTCAAACTAGCATGATCAGGCAGAACGTTTTACGCCAAATTTGAAACATCAACGGACAATCAACTGAAAAAAGCAAGGCCATTCTCTCCCCAAAACCTCTGAGCTTCTAAAAGTGTATGAGCTTGATTAATACAATCTAAATAAACGAGTTGAATAACCTAAACTGTACACACGAGAATATTTAGAGATCTAAAAGCACTTTCCTGTGCCATTCAGTCACAGTGAAGACAGAGATATCAAAAACGGTATAAAAACACAAAGTAGAAAGAAGTTGAATGTACAATAAATGCATCTACCGATTCAAATTCTGAACACAAATAACAAGGCTGAGCTCCTATTCTTTTATTACAGAGATAGTTGTAACTGGGAAATAGACAAGTACAGTGCAAAAGTGAGAGAGAAAGACATTTAGATGAATTAATTAATTAGAGATTGAATGAATACCCTTTGTTGGATAAATCTCAAACTATTTAGAATAATATGTGCCATTATGTTATATAATTCACATACTGTAAATATATTCACTTGAACATCTTAAATCTCAGTCTTTTGCACAGCACTGTACTGTCTGTCCGTAATTTCATTCATCAGAAGTTAACAATGCAGAAGGCACGCAAGGAGCTCATTCCAAGTGCAATTCTTTTCACACCAGTTTTGACTGCACCCCATTGTACCCCACGGCGAGTGTTTTCCTGATTAAGTGACATCCTGACTCCGACAGGCGGTACACTGCGGTGGTGTTACAGCCACACCAGGAAACTGAAGCTTAGGTTTCTCTGACTCAGACTGTGGCCTGATACATCCACCCAGAACCACTGCATAATAATACAGGCAGCTTAAATCACATTGACAGACCAATCAGTGCATTCTGGATTTTAGAGTGCAGCCAAATGCTTTAGACTGGCCTCTAATGTAACACTGTACATCTATATTCAGCACCACCAGGGCCTTGTTGTTCAGCACCTTATTCATAATCAAAACTAATAGTGGACAGAGGTATAGTGTTGTCATTTATGTCTAGTGTGTTTGAAACAAAAGATGGCCGCTTTCTTTTAAAACGATAAGATTATAAGAGTAAGGGACGCTTCATGTCACTCTTGGACCTGAAAAAAGTTGCACCAATAAGAAGATAAATCACAATCGTCCCACTTTGTCACCTTCAATCGCGCCGCGGCTCACAGTGATATTCTGTGCTTAAAGTGTTCAACCAGTTTAGCGTCGTCTCCCTCTGTCCACTATTCCTACTGCATAAGGGGGTGGTTCTCTTTTTTAAAAGCTCCTTGTTTTTGATTAACATAAATCTGGCCTTTTCTATAGTGCAATATAGGCGCTACTCTTGAGGTCAACAAAGGTCAAAAAAATACTAATGGTAGTAATACTAATAACACGCTCAAAACGTCACCAAACTACGAATACGCAACACAAAATGCCCTTAAAGAAGCTCACAAAAGCAGCATAAAATCTGTTACGTAAAATATTTATAAAAACAGTCATTAACAACACTTTATGTCTGAACCGTATCGTACATGATAAAAATTGTATTACAAAAGTTTTGTTTTTAATTACGGATTCAGAGTAAGTTTCTTTTGGAACAGTTTAACTAAAGCAAATGTTTTGTAATTGTTGTTTCTAAGAGTGGTGTGATTTCTTTTCTCTGTATTGTGAAATCTATAAACTTTTTTTATATACCTTGTAAAGATATTTGATTTAAAAAAAACAAAAACAATTTATATACTATATTTGAATAAAACTTATTTTTTTTAAGAAGTAGAATTATTGCGGTCTGCTCTGCCTAATGCAGTCAGGCATAAAGCTAATATTTCTAAGTAAAATATGCACCTGATATTTTTTAAGGGTGTGCGTTTCTTTCTGTTGCCTTATTTTCTTTTCTTTACAATCAACTAAATGAAACAAGACACTTGAAAACTCACTATATTCGAATGGTGATGAAAACTGAACCACTTGTTATTTTCTTACCAGTAACACTATGAACCTTAAGACTTCAAAATGTGATGAAAATGGTTTCGTATAAAATATGTCAAATCAGTAACACTAATGTCTATGCACTATCACCAGCTACAGTCCTTTTTTGCCCTGAATCATGTGAGACCATGACGTTAGCAAAGAGGGGTATTTCACCACACTATGCGAGGTGTGTCCAAACAGTTACTCGTACTTGTTTTTCTGTAAACACTTCTCCAAGATACTTTTAGCACAGCTTTGAGGAGATTTGTGAAACTCAAGTCCAATCAAAGTTTTGGTGAAAGTACCGTCGTCAAGTTAGGTTAGCCATCAACACACCACAATCATGTGATGAGCGACACGAAGGTTAGGGTCGGAGGGTAAATCAGAGAATGCACTATTTATATTCAAATAGTCCAGTTCCCTGCTTAAAGCTGAGGGACTTAACTTTCAAAGGATATTAAAGTGATAGTCTGGAACTCTAAATGAATTACACATTTTAAGAATTGTATTAAATTGACCTCCTGGCCTTATGACATAAGTCATCTTATGAATTCTAATATTACGGGTAAGTCCCGCCTTCCATTCTCTTAGCTATAGCTAGAAATCCACGATGCCGTCCACGTTAACCAACCAAGTGATGCCAAGGGCTGCCAATCATCGGCGCTGATGCTCGCAGCTGCGCGCATGCTCAGTTGTTTGTTTTCGGAGCCTCTGAATCAAGCCTCTATTAGGCTCTGGAACTTCATGATAACTTATCAAAGAATTCTGAACATCCGCGCTGAGTTACCCATTTATATACTGAACCTATATCCATAATCAGATCCTCTGCAGATGTGTCCAATAATGTGCAATTCATGATAAGAGCTACTACCGGGTTTACCGCAATCGCTTTTTTCATGCATTAACACATTATTTTTGTCATGAAAACATTAACAAACAATTCTGAAAACCTCCGTGCATGTGTATTAATAATGTATAAGTATAATGTGTTCTCAGATTAACATGTAAATATGTTACGGAAACGTAGGCATAGATCAATCAGAAAGGAAGGGGGAGGGAGCTTGGGTCGTTTTTTTCAAATCCTGTACCTCTCTCTCTTTTTTCGGACAAACTCCAGACAATCACTTTAAACTATCTAATACAATCCATCTAACTAGCCTCTATATCCAGAGACAGATCGGTTATATCATTAGATTTCCCATGCTGCCATTTTTGGCCTTTATCAAGTGAAAAACAGAGGACCACTTTCAGCCAATCAGCACTCAAAGCATCAAATAGTGACTTACAAGGCTCGGTCTCACAAAAGATAAAATGTTTTCCAATAAGAAGATAGCATGTTGTGGTCTGATATGCTCATAACGCACTACTTTTACACAAGACTTTCTGTTGGGAAGAAAAACTTTGTAAAAAAGTTAGATACCCCAGCTTTAAGTACAGTCTCCAGAGATCGTTTTCATAATAATCTTACTTGCATAACTATCTTAACACACTTCATTCGTAAAGCTGGAGAGAAGGCGGCACTTGTAAGGAATGACAGCATGAGGCCACTTTTGGAATGTTCAGGATTTCTGCAATATCTCAGAGCCATGCAGAGTCATGCTTGATGTGAGAGAAAATAATGGGTTGAATATCTGACGACAAAGGGGGCAGTATGGACTTGGGTGGGCAGCTGTGGCGCGTCTTCAGCGTGAGTCACCAGTGAAGAGGGGATTATATCATGGCAGTTCTCTTCTGGGGCCCTGCGCAGAGAAAACACAACATCAAATTAGTCCAAAAAAGGAAGGCAAAGCTCCCAAACTCGCAGAAAGTCCTCACTCATGCAACACTGGATCCTGACTGGTTACTGCCACTGTTCGTGCAAACCAAGCATTTTAGATTGTTTGTTTAAAAGAGTTGTTTTGAGACGTTTTGGAGAGATGTGTATGAAGACATCTAAAGACAGAAACTAGAATTGAAACGAAGACAGATTAAAGGCATAGCACATATTTGTGAGTGGGACTGTATTTAGCACTTTTATGAGGAAGGAGAGATCAAACATGAGTAAATGAGAAAATCTAAGTTTCATTATGTATATACGTATGTGTATAAGTATATAGTGGATGACCAGGTGATTGTTTGTTCAAGGGTTAAAAAAGGTGTCCAGCTAACTACATGTTCCCTTTTAACAAATGTTGCTTACATGTGGTATGAGGTACACTGTGTAAATCTGCTGTATTTATGTACTGGAATATGTGTAAATGAATATGGTATTTTCTGGCTCCACGATTGTCTCCTTCTCCATATTTCAATGCGTGATAGTGCCGCAAACAACCCACCAAAAATCTGATCCATTGTCATAAAATCATGCACATACAGGAATTTTGTTATCATTGTTGTATGTGACAGAGCAATGACCACACATGTTTATAATCTGAGCTTTCCATTTGTATTATTTATAAACCATGCTGCGTGGTGCTCTAAACTTATTTCTGATGAAAAAGAAAATAACTTCCATTACAATGTTGGGATTTTGAGCCAAACAAAAAAGATGTGAACCAGAATTTTTTTAAAAATTGGCAGCCAATTCTCACTATAATCAAAAAAACATGTTTTTCTTCTTTTTGGCCAAAAATGTATATATTGCTTAATTTGAAGTTTTAAACATAATCAAAATTAGAAATACAGTTAAAGGGTAAAAAGGAAAAGGATAGTGGCTCTACAAAATGTAGTTAGTAACCAGCATACCTCCAGTTGTCGGGTGGACTTCCTTTCATTTTGAATACTTTAGAACAGAAAGAAGAGACAAATTGAGTTGAACAAGTGAATTACAATAACCACATATTCACAACGGCGTCCTGATGCATATTCATGTTGTTTAATCTTTCAGCGGAACACTTGGTTGAGTTTCGGTCCAGCTGCAGTAAAACAAACAACATCTGCTGCCAAACTCTTTTTGGGTTATGTGATTCTGGATGTGTGTCTGTGAGCAGCTCGAGACGCGCGCTTTATCTCATCTATTGCAATATCTTTTGTCCTTGATGCATAGCTCTGCAGGCTGTGATTCTTTGAAGTAGAGCGCCTTTCACACCCACTGGAGAATGGCTGTTTACTCCCTGTGCATCTGGAGTACCTACACAGGCACGGAGCAGGATTGCAGGTGGATTCTGATGTTTTGACTACATTCGAGCTCTCTTTCTGATTGCTGCAAGAAAGAAGCCAATTCTGTTTCTAAGATCATCCTCCATGACACAGTGACCTCATTCTTCAGCTTCATTTCCATGATTGTATGACTGTACTCTTGTAGTATACTTCTTGTAGTTTTGACCAGCTGAATTCTAACTAATATCAAAGCGCAGGTACCTAACTCTCCAACTACCTAACTGTTTTTTTTTCCCTCCCACATAATCAGATCATTTTATTCAGACACAAAAGGCAAAATGAGAGGATCACTCTCATTCAGCCAATCAGCTCAAGCCCAAAACTTCCAATAGTGACTCACAGGGCTCTTTAAATATAATAACAATAAAATGTTTTCTAATGAGATTAAGACAAGAATGTTGTTGTCTGATTTGCATTGTACTTCTATCAGACTATTTCTGGTTGGATAGAAAAACAAAGATTATTTATAGAACAAAAAAGTTGGGTACCTCAGCTTTAAAGCAAGACATCACTAGGACTAACTCTGGTAATATAGACAGAACTGCAGTTCCAGTCAGTGCTCGTATTAAGATTGTGCATGTGCAAATTAAAGATAAGAATACAAACCTCCAGTGTTGATGCTCTGGAGTCTGTCTCACTCGGGCCTATGCTCCGGGGTATACTGGACACAAAGTAGCCTCCTTTGGGGATGATAGGCTGCCTCACCACCACTTTCCCCTTCCTCGTCTCAGCCAGGAACAGACTGTACCAGTAGGCATCGCTGGAGATAAGGGTCGAATCCGCAATGGTGGAACTTCTCTGACTGATGACACTGTTTCTACTAATAACACTGTTTCTGTTTGCATTGGGCGGCATCTTGATCGCTTTGGGCTTTGGTTTCTGACATTTCAAGACAATTATAACCAAGATTGTAATCAGTAACAAGAATGACACAGCTCCTAGTCCGATGACCAAGTACAAGTTCAAGTCTGTGAACATGTCATATTCAATTGGCAGCTCAGTAGTTTCCGAGAACGACATCACATTTTCCACAGTCGAGATCTTGATGGTCACTGTAGCTGACAAGGCAGGATCACCGTTGTCCTTGGCGACAATGACCAATCTTTGTTGCCTGGGATCTCTATAACTAAACATCCTGGTTGTTCGGATCTCTCCATTGTACTGGTCCAGGCTGAATAACGAGGCATCTGTGATTTGTAAAAGTTGGTACGTCACTCTTGAATTCTGCTCTGAATCAGCATCAATGGCGATAACTTTTGCCACTAGATGCCCCTTGTCTGTAGATCGTGGAATGACTTCTTCGACAATAGATCCTTGAGCTCTCCATGGTGAAACTATTATAGGCGTGTTGTCGTTTTGATCTTGTATGATAATATGGACTGTCACATTGTTACTTAGTGGAGGGACACCAGAATCTCTTGCCTCAATATGAAACAAGAAGTCCCTTTCTCTCTCATAGTCAAAGGTCTTTAACGCATAAAGATCTCCGTTTTCTGGATTGATGGAGAACAGCATGGACATGGATGTGTTCACAATCTCTTTTTCCATTATGAAGTAGACTAAATATTGGTTTTCGTTCAGATCTGGGTCATGAGCGCTGAGGGATGTCAATAGAGCCCCTGGTACATTATTCTCCACTACATGGATTGTGTAAAACGGTTGAGGGAATGAAGGTGCGTTGTCATTGATGTCTAAAATGTCTAAGATAATTGTCTCATTTTCAGAGAGGGGTGGGCTGCCTTTGTCTGTCACCATCAGAATGAGTTCATATTTGCTGATAATTTCTCTGTCCAATGGTTTTGAAACAATAAGCTCGTAAAATCCCTCTGACGTTTTGTTTAGAAGTAAAGGTAGTGTTTGTTGTTGGCTCAAAGTTAGTTCGACCACGCCGTTGTCACCGGAGTCCAGGTCTCTCACTGTAATGACAGCAATAAGAGTCCCTATGGGAGTGTCCTCACTGACTGCATTTTTCACTGACTTGATGGTGACCTCAGGATAGTTGTCATTGAGGTCTTTGACATAGACCATGACTTTGCAGTGTCCTGACAAAGGATTGGTGCCTCTGTCCTGGGCCTGGATGTGCATCTCAAAACTTTGACTCTCCTCAAAGTCTATGATGCCTTTCACCTTGATCTCGCCAGTGTGCTGATCAAGCGTGAAGATCTCCTGGGTTTTCTCCGAGGTGTACAGTGTGTATGAGTATAGCAGCTCAGCGTTCGTGCCTTCGTCCAAGTCTGTCGCATTTAACACCATGACTACAGAGCCCGCGGCAGTGTTCTCGGAGACATTGACTGTATATTCTGGCTGACTGAAGAGGGGGGCGTTGTCGTTGATATCCAGGACATTGATAATGATGCTCGCTGTGCCGGAGCGGGGAGGCACCCCTCCATCCACTGCCGTCAAAATCAGATTATGAACTGCCTGCTCCTCTCTGTCTAGATTCCCATTTAGCACCAGATCTACATATTTAGAGCCATCACTGCCTGTCTGAATGTCAATGTTAAAGAATTTACTCTCACTCAAATAGTACGTCTTGACTGAATTGGCGCCCACATCTGCGTCTACAGCATTTGTCAATGAAAATCTCTCTCCGGGAGGGGTTGCTTCGGAAATGTCTAAATTCATTGTCTTTCTGCGAAACAAAGGCTCATTGTCATTAATGTCCATTATCTCTAGCTCTATGTTAAAAATACGAATAGGATTCTCGAGAATGACATCCATTTTTAAGAAACAAGACGTGGTTTTAGAGGTGCATATGTTTTCTCTGTCTATTTTTTCACGTATAACTAACTCACCCGTTTCTTTTTTGATGTCAAGGTAATTCTTACTGTTCACAAAATCGAGCTTCGCCTCACGTTGCATCAATGTGCGGACGTCCAAACCCAGATCCGTGGCCAGATTTGCAACAAAGGATCCCTCTTCCATCTCCTCCGGTATGGAGTAGCGAGTGATGGAGAGCGCGCAGCCCCATAGTGCAAACAGCGTGAAAGCAGTTATCATCCAACGTGTGCGTAAAGGTGCATCTGGAAGCGCCATTGTAACGCTTTAATTCAGGACAGGTCTCAGTGATGGAGCAGCTCCTTGTAGATCAGACCGTGTGGATGAAGGACAGCGCCGGTGTCATCGCCCCCACGCCTCGGAGCTGGAGCTGCAGCAGGCCGATCACAGCGCACACTACCACCGCTGGAGGTACACGGCTCCACAGCAGGGGCGGAGACAGCGCATAGCCGCTGCTGGTCACACACAGCCCCTATGAGCCCCCACGCGCCCCCATAAGCCCCCACTGCAGGGCTGTTCAATGGCTGTAAGCACGTTTTTATTAGTCCAATAAAATACTATCGTCTTAATGCTATGGCCATGGTTCAGTAATACCTTTTCAATCATTTACATACATTTTGTTGCTTAATAAAGGAATTATATTTTGCAAATAAGGGTTGCCATAAGTAAATTATGAGACAAAAACATAAACTCAAATGTGATTCCGACGCAGGGTGGATGCTTTTGTTCCCTGTGGGTTTCCCTAGTTCTCCTCCAAGGTTTCTCACTTTTTCCCACTGGGTTTTTTAAGAGTTTTTCCTTGTCGATGCAGGAGGGTCTTGTTGGACAGTTAGTGTCCAACAGAAAGGATTGGTGATGATCAGGACACTTTAGCATTCTACAACATGTATGGACATTTTCTTCTGTGTGTGCTTTATACTGTATTCTTCATGTGTTTTAACTGTTGATTCTCTGACCTGTGTTGGTGATTTCAATGGTTTTGTTAAGTCCTCTGAGATGACTTCTGTTGTGACCTAGGGCTATACAAGAATAAATTGTATTGTATTGTAAATTGTAAGCGACTTGTCGGCCATAGACAAATAGAAACTGAACAAAATCTTGAGCCTAAAATTATCACATTACCGAGGTCAGTGCAATGTTTTGTGCTCATTTGATGAAGTATTGTTATCAAAATCAGACAGTTGGAAAACCGGTCATTTCAAAGCTTGTTAACAATTTCCATGTGTTTAAAGAAGAAACCAATCTTGTGGGATTTTATGAGGGTTTGGGTTGGAAAATCTTGTTGGAATCTAGCAACACTGATCTGTTTTAGTCTTGGTTCAGTCCATGTTTAGATTGCGTCTAATTGCTTGCCATTTACCTCCATAGACCCTGTGTGTTCAGTGATCTTAAACAGTACTGTCTTGCAATCGTTGTCATATAAGATACATTCATGTATAATTACTATTACACAAATTGAATACACTACAATCCTAATTAGGTACACCTAACTTTGACCTTTTTAATCCACTTCTGTGGCAGCTCATCATACTTAATCCATTGTTTTAACAAGTGGATATATAGCATAAGATACATAATTATTTGCTCATGGAAAGTTTAGGACTAGAAGAACATACATATTTGTCATGTGTATACCACAAAGAACAGTACATTTTCAGATAACATTCTCACATTGTGTTTCAGCCCCTGCTGATCCATGGATCCATGGATTGAGTGACAACATGCATGTTGTCACTCAACTATAGTCTAAAAATTAAAGATATATATACGGTGACTGTATATTATTATTATTATTATTCTAAAATGGTCCAATCAGAGTAGCTGCTGTATCACTGATAATTCTGAATACTGAGAATATTTTCACATTAATTTACATTATATGATGTGAACTTCCTGCACTAAAATGTTTTGATACTTTTTCAGACCAGCGATTGATAATCAGAGCCTTTCTATTGGCGCCATCAAGTGGTCATTTATATAATTACAGAATAAAATAGCTCCTGCCGATCAAGAGTTGTTATTTTTGCTTATTAGCTCATATGGGGTCCTTAAAAAAACGGAAAATAGAAAATATTGATTATCTTCATTGACTTGTATCGTATTCTGCATTAACATGAATATTTTTATGTAATACTGGAATTACTACTTTTATAATAATGTGTAAAACATGTTTCACCATTGTGCATTTTTTTATATTTTGAAATACCTAAAGGTAAAATAAAATCGCGAGCTCCTCTAAAATGAAAGTTTATCTATGCATATATTAATCGTGTTCTTTGAAACCTGAATTGAATGATCAATTTAAAACAGTGCAATTCTTTGGTTTTTCCAAGTAAGTCTAGTAAGTATTGTCAACTGTATTAGTATACTCTGATACTAATGCTAATAAGAATAATACTAACTACATAATGCTATATTATATGTTTGCAGAAAAGTGTCCCCCCGTGGTTAGAGTGTACTACATAATCGGAGAGAAGCGTCACAAGAAAAAAAAGTTAGAGTGACAACATACACTTATGCTTGTAAATGCTGTTACAGCTTCTTCTTCTGACCTAAACCTGGTCCCCAAAGTAAGTTTAGTCACGCTTAAACGTGACTTCTGGTTGGACTTGGCCTGGGCTGCAGATATGAGCTACCCTATAACAAAGCAGGCCAAAACATGTCATTTCCACGTCAACTGGTAACAAGGATTTTGTAACACCAAGTAAAGTCATCGCTTGTATGATTGTGAAACTCACACCACAGACTTGAATTTCATATTTTGTTTAGGGGAAAGTGTTCTAGTAAAATACAGTGATTTATTGTCATCAGCGTAATTGCTGCCTACTTCAATTAAGAAGAGCAAGTCTTTTGTCTATTCATGGTTTCATTCTGCAACAACACAATCATTGTGAGGCGTACAAAAAACTCTTTTAGCATAATGGCTTGATGAAAACTAGGTTCCATATTAGAATACATGGACTGCTCAGCCACCTTGCTATTTCTTTTAAGAAGAACTTCTTGGTTTAAGACCACCTCTGACATAAAAAAAAAGTGTCCCTGTTGCCTCAGTTACTACATCCGTATGTCTAACAATTGTTTCTTTGAAAGTCAGCAACTATGAGCTGTTTGTGGCCGCAAATTACACCCAGGCGTTTCTTCAGTTCCTTTTTAGGTATTTTCATAAAATACCTAAGAAGATGGATGGAGGGTCGGTCGTAATAGTGTAATTAGGGTGTAACAGCAGTTTATTCCATAGTTATTTAACTTTTCTGATCTTCATATGGTCTAACTCACTAAGTTATTTTTGGTACTTCCAGTATTTGCAATACTACAAGTTGTACATTTTCCTATCTTTTCTAATTTTATGTTTTGGAGGTTTTTGATATTTAGTATTTTGTACCTTTTCTTTTATTGTATGCAGTGGCTCAGTTGGTGGAGCATTGGCCTTTGAGCCTGAAGGTCGTGGGTTCAAGCCCACCATAAGACCTACTTCACAACTCCCACTGATGACTGCTGTTGTTGTGTCCTTGGGCAAGACACTTAACCCCACTTTGCCTGAAGCCCCCCGCTGAAAGATCTCAGCTCCTGTGGACTCACCACCTGCAGGAGGATCAGTGAGGGGCTGGTGCTATGTGTACTGGGTGCAGCTCTGACTGCCATCCCTCGACCCAGAAATGGATTAAGGGGAAGAAAATGGATGGATGGTCGTAGAGTGTGTGGTAGGGGAAATATGTTGAGATCAAGCGTGACTTCAGAGTAAACAATTATGGCAGACAAAGAGGATGCCGTGGCGACAGTTCGCAGTTTGTTTGACAGAGAAAAAGCTTTATCAAAAGAAAAGGCGATGGTGAAATAGGTGGAGACAATACGAGCATGGACTATTCTCCACCTCCAACGTCCACCGGACTTTCTGGTGCGCCATGCCGCTGACTGTCATGATTTTTCCCCCCGGAGTTTCCTCGCCGCCTCGTCACCTTGTCTTCTGATTGGCTACACGCCACAGTCCACTGGCAACGTGCTTGTCTGTCCACGGGGGACACTGCACACAAAGAGAAATCGGGCCAAAACAATCCAACATGTTAGATATCCCCGATTTGAGATCGGAGCAGTCCCGAAGTCCCTGAGCAACGAGCACAGTCTTAACACACCACACATGGCAGAAAAATCCATCAGATTAGTTTACAAAAATCAGAGCGTTTTTTAGATTGTCGTCAGGAGTAGAGCCCTGCACGGGCCTATTATCTGGGCCCGAGCCCGGCCCTGGCCTGAGGGGGTGGCGCCCCAGCCCGGCCCGGCCCGATATGGTTTCTGAATTTTCAGGCCCGAAACCCGCATCAAGCCCGCCTTTTTTTTTTTTTTTTTGTAACCTCCCATAACAATGTTTTAGCGTAGTATATAGTGCCGCGCACTGATATGAACGCAGACTTAGCTAGAGGGCGGAGTTATACATGGTAGTGATGTGTTGCAATGAGTTCTGTGTGTGCGGAGTGGTGCAGAGTGAACGGCCGCATCTGTATGATGCCCCCGATGCTGCAACACATCTGCACATTACATAAGTAATGCTATGTGCCGTCAATGACAACACTACACAGAACAAGAAACACTACAGCGTGATAGAACGCTATATTCAGTGGGTGCGTTCGTAAATGTATTCTGCCGCTCTGAAAATGAAGAGCCCGAGCCCGGCCCGTGTCCGAGGTCATTATGCGGTCATCGGCCCGAAGCCCGGCCCTCGGGCTGTCGGGCCGTCGGGGCCCTCGGGCCAAGGGCTCAAGTACAGGGCTCTAGTCAGGAGTGAATTGTGTTTTAGATTGGCCCAATTATCCTGACTTGTGAACCAGGCTTTAGTGATGTGAGTTTCAGCTCTGCTGGTCTGAGCCTATGGCCAAAAGAGCATCAAACATGGAGAAATTCCCCACCGCATCGCATGAATTTCTAACTTGTTTTTGAAACTTGTTTTGGTCATATGTCCAATCAATCCAGGTGGGAAAAAGACAAGGTAGAAGTCTCTGCGATTAAAAACCTAGGCCTAGATGTAAATAAAAAACACAACACCTTGAACTGCCTGTAGGTAGCGCTGTTGCACTCACAGTTGTGTGTTGCATACCATTGTGTTCAGGATCATACGCTGTGTTTACAACTTTTGCGCAATATTTTGTTTTGCTTGTCTCGGTTCAGAGTTTATTGTATGTTTGGTCAAGTGTGGTGTGAGTGGAATCAAATAAGCGTGAGCTTCCTCCATCCCCTTTTCAAGTCACATGATTGTGAATTGTAATTGAATGTGAATGTTATTTTTTCTTTACCCTTAAATAAATAAATAAATAAATAAACAAACAAACAAACAAACAAACAAGAGATTACACTCAGTGATTTCCGGACTGATAGGAACACTTGGGCGGCACGGTAGCTGAGTGGATAGCACTCTCGCTTCTCAGCAAGAAGGTCCTGTGTTTGAATCCCAGTCGGACGTTGA